AATATTTATACAACTTAAATTTTTTTTCGTCCGATTTTGCGGGGGGAGATCCGATAGGATCTTATCCCAATTATTTTTTTTTTTTCTTTTTACCTTCTTTAGTTCCTTTACTATTTTTTTTTTTTTTTTCATGTGCTTATACTTTCTTTTCCTTTTCTTTTCAAAAGACCTCTCAAAGAAGATAATTTTAGGAGGTCTCTCAAAAAAGATAATTTAATCCATGGTGATAATTTTATTTTGGGCAAGTCAAAAGAGATAATTTATTCATGACTTTTTTTTTGATGCAATCAAAACAAATAATTTATTCAACAAAGTTGACTTTTTTTTCAGTCCAGTCATAAGAGGTAACTTTCTTTCCTTTTTTTTTATTTATTTTTTTTTATGGTCCCATCAAAAGAAATAATTTATTGAATAGAAATATATATATTCTTTTGGGTATTATCAAAAGAGATAATTTATTCAATATGTATAAAAATATATTTTAATCCTCTTTTTCATACTTTTTTTTTTATCTTGACAAAAGAGATAATTTATTCAATAAATATTTTTTTTTTTGGGTTTTTTTTTCTTGTCAAAAGAGATAATTATTTAAATTGTTACTTTTTTATTTTTGGTCAGGTCAAAAGAGACAATTTATTCAACATAATATATTTTTTTTTTTTTGGTCCTCAAAACAAAATATTATTCAAATTTTTTTTTTTTTTATCTTGGCAAGAGAGACCTAAAATATTAAAGATTAGAGATAAGGAGTGAAAATCTGAAAGGACAATTGTGTCATTTAAAAAGTAATAATCATTCATTTGTAAAGTTAAGGTTATAATTGTGATTTTATTTAAGATTGTAGTGCAAACGTAGAAAAGTGGAGTGCGAATAATGCCTTCTTGCATGAATTATAGATTATAGACAGGTTATATACTAAAATGAATCTTAACAGTGATTGAATGAGTTTTTGTGGAATTAATTGGATCAATATTACCACTCATTGTTAATGGCATTGAAATTTTTTGGACTAACTAATAATACTTGCTTTAACTACCATTTTCATCCCTTCTTAACTTTCTCTTTTCCATGAAATTTCCAATTGGCAATATTGATCCTATTTTGAATGGCAACATCGATCCCAATATTGTCAAATGATACTATTAAAAGAATGAGAATAATAGTATTTAACCACACATTCCCAATTATCCAAGTAAAATTCTATACACATGATCTATATTTCAATTCGAATGGGATTTAAAATTTTAGGAATAAGTAAAATTTGACTTCCCTAACTTTCCTTGTTCACTCAAATTCCCATTTTTTTTAATGTCCAATTCAATTTTAATAACTAGCGATTATGAAAATGATGATATTGTCCCCATTGATTTTTAAAATAACCATTGACAGTGATGGTATTAAAGTATATTATTCAATAAGGCGAATTGCAAAAAATTCCTTTTTATTATTACTCAGTTGCGAAAAACCTCTTAGGAATATTTTTGGCAAAAAATCCCCCTCAACTATCCGAGGGTGTTTTTAACTGTTGTCCGTTTAAGTGGTTGTCTGAGGAAATGTTTTGGACGAAATTACCCCCTTAACAAATTATTATTCAGATAATTTATTTATTTTTTTCTCTCTTCTCTCTCCGCGTCAAGTATGCCTTCTCATTCCTTCAAACACAAAGCTAACAGCCGACCGAGAAACCTAATTGTTAAAATTTTATGTTTCAACACTACTTAGACAACATGATATAGCACATGTAAACAATAGCTGAGGTCTCAAGAACACTCACCTATACACTTAATCTATTACTTATTTCTATTTAGTTACTTTTATTATTGGTATTTTTTTTCCATGATTTCATCCATGTAATTGAACAAATCTTTTGTATGTAAGAAGTGTTATGTTTCCTTTGATTTGTTACCATATTAAAAAATATATAATAAAATAATAAAATAAAAAAATAAAAATCTTAATAATAAGAGTGAGTAACCTTCCCAAAAATTACCCCCTATGTATGTAATTTTTGAGTAATAAGCGTGGAATCAAAACAATTTTCAAGTAGTAGGTGGTGGAATCAAAACAATATATAATGAGATGATAAATGTATTTTTCTCAAACTAAATGACTTAAATGTCATTTATAATTAGATTCTTGTGAATTGAATAGAGGGCAATGATGTCTTTTCACATTAAAAGCGTTCATATTTTTAGGTCTTTAACTCGAATACATCAATTATAACAATTTTATCTTAAAAAGTTATTTTGGGGTATTTTGTGTTCTCGAAGTAAGAAATTTTTTTTTACAAAAATCATATTTGAAAAAAAGAAAAAAAATTATGCTGCTTTTTAATTATCAATTTTAGTCCACTTACCTTGAAGTAGCATAATTCAATTAAGGAAAAGAAATAAATTAGATTAAGGAAACATGGCAAATTATTAACTATTTTTCTTTAAATAATTAACTATTATAATTAACTATTTTTTTTCTATTCCAACGCCATGGTGGATTTTCTCTCTTCTGATCGGTTGTACTCAATTTTATTTTATTAATTATACATAGCTTAAATATGATTTTATTGGCTTTTTATTTTTTGTTTTTATTTGGGGAATTTTTCTTTGCTGCTTCATATACTTTGCTTGACGGAGAGAGAGAAAAAAAAATAATAATAATAATTTGTCTAAAGAATAATATGAAGAAAAAAAATTTGCTTGACAGGAGAGAGTAATTTCGTTCGAAAAAATCCCTCAAACAATCACTTAAATAGATATCAGTTAAAAACATCCATTGGGATAGTTGAGGGGAGTTTTTTGTCAAAAATATTCATAAAGGGGTTTTTCGCAACTAGTTAATTATTGAGGGGGATTTTTTGCAATTTGCACCATTCAATATTCAATTTTAAATTAAGAATGACAATAATAGTGTTAAGAACATATTCAATTATACTTACATCATTCTTTTTGAAAAATTAATTTACATTATATTGTATTTTTTTCAAAGTGTTTTATGGAAAAAAATTTATGTGTAAAATTTTTTTTCAAACCATATAAAAAAAATGTACTATTATATATAAACAATAATGTATGAATATATTTAAAATATTCAAAAACAAATTAAAAAACAATCTTTACCAAACATGTTATTGTTTTTGTTTCACCAATATTGGCAATAGTTGAACTCTACCAAACATATTTTGTTTTCAAATTTCTTGAAATGAAAGGCATTGCCAAACATGTTATACATGTTTCTGCTTCTGAAATTTCCACTGTAAATTTGTGTAAATCTGATGTGTCAAGATAAATTTACATAATAATTTTGGATTATTTATTTTTAGCTACAGCGGTTGTTTTATACCTTTTCTCCACGTGTCAACTTTTATAAACCTAGTTAATATATGTTGATTCTTTAATGGAATGAAAAAGAGAGACGAGAAAGGAAATATGCTAATATGGTTGTCTGGTTAAGTAAAATACACAATAATTTTACCCATTAATGAAGTGACATCATACGTGACAGTGTTTATTTTACACTAAGGATATTTTAAAACTACTCGAGATGCTCTAACAAAACACACAACACATAAGCCCCCCTTGGTAGAGTTGGTAAAACAACGGTTTGGGGTGCCATATGTCCCAGGTTCGAGCCCGTTCATCCCCATTGTATTCATTGACTGAAATTGGTACTGAGATGTGGGACCATCGACAGCATCCCCAGGTTTGTAGCCTAGGGTGGATCCCAAAGGTGCCCTATCTAGGGGAGTTCCATAAAGTGTACTTTTGTTAGACATAATTTTTTTTAGGGTTTAAATCTGAAAACCGTATTATTTTAAAAAAATAATCATTAAACCCCCACCAGTTTGAAAAAATCCCAAATTGTCATTTTACCATATCAATGATCCGAGTTGTGAAATGATAAAATTACTCTTATGATATTCTCCTTAATTTAAAAAAACAAAAATTATATTTTACAAATTACAATATTATCCTCTTTGACTTTTGAATTTCTTTCTGACCATCTCAATTCTTTAGTTTCTCTCTCCACCTTTTTCATCTAGGCTCGGTTTTTATCTAAACTCAGTTTGTTTCAACATAAAATATCATCCTTGGAGAATATTTTTTATAAAGAACTTTTTCAGGTAAAATGTTTTCTCTATTTTGATTTTATAGTGTTTGGCAATAGTTCTAAAAATATTTTACTTTTTGGTGTTTGGCAAAGGTTCTAAAAATATTTTTAAATGAAAATCAAAGTCCTTATTTTAGTCATTGATAATGCAATCTCTCTCTTACCTATTCATTAATCTAACTATTTCTATTCGAACAATGATAATTATTTGACAAGGAAATGTTTTTTTCAATCGATTTTTGAAAAATGACGAGGAAACCGAACCAAGCCTCTTCATCTTCATATGCAACAAGTGATCTTGGTCTCTCCATTGATTTTTTTTTTTCAGGCTATTCAATGATGATGACAAAAATATATGTTAATAAAAACAAATTGAAGAAACAAAAAAATAGCTAATACAAAAAATATGATAATAAAAACAAATCAAAGAAACAAAAAAAAAAAGTAGAAAAGCAACAGTACAATGTCAATAACACAATCTGAAAATAAACAACTCACTGACAATCACTGTATGCATTCAAAATACTAAAATTAGAAAAGCAACACTAACATAACAGGTTGCTTGCCTAAACACATTTGTTTTCAACTCTCAGCTTTTAAGAAATGATACCAAAAATTTGAAAACAAGAATGATGAAACAGGAAATGGATGGGTCAAAAGTGGTTGTGCTAACAATTGTTTTGAAAAAAAAAAAAAATAGGGGTCATTACATGACTACACACAACCATCATTTGCACTAAGAACACACAATCATTCTTTGCACCAAGCAAAGCACCCAACCACAACAGTAAGGCATATACAAATCTAGAAGATCTGAAAACCATTTCCAAATAGCACTAGCAAGAGGACGGGTAATGAACAAATGGTCAACCTATACAAATAGCAATAGCAAGAAGAAGAAGAAACGACAATGATCTTTATAAATTTCTTCTATTTATGTAGTCATCATATATAGCATGGGCTATGGCATCCCTTCTAATTGCCAACGCCCTGCCAACTCCCTACTTTCTGCCCTCTCTTCTCCTTATGTTTGTTGGAGTCTTTGTCTTTCGGTTTGAAACTCATCATTGGTGTCTTGCATAATCTCGTCATTTGGATCAACTCCCATTATGTGATTGTGTAAGATACAACATGCTAGTACCACATTAACTTGGGTTGGATATTCCCAAAAAGGTTCGGCATCAAGCACGCAGAAGCGTTTCTTTACCACACCAAAACCACATTCAATGGCAGTTCGTAAGGAAGAGTGACGAAGATTGAACAACTCTCTTTCATTTTACGTAGGACGGTTACTATATTCTTTCAAATGATATCGAACGCCACGATATGGGGGAATAAATCCATTTCGAATGCCGTAACCCGAATCAACAAGATTGTATTTACCTAAAAATTAAATGTTAAATCATTATGATTAATTTCTCATCCACGATTATACTCTAACAAACAATTCAAAGTTAAAACATTACCTTCAGGGACTTGTAAGCGCCCTCTTTGCCTCGAAAGTGCATTACTTAGAATATAAGAATCATGTGCAGATCCTTCCCAACCAGCAAGTACATATGTGAACTTTAAGTCAAACGAGATAGCAGTTAGAACATTTTGTGTTGTTCCCCCTTTTCGGCCACGAAATCTTCCTTGATCTTTAAGGGGGACTGAAGCACGAACATGTGTCCCATCTATAGCTCCCACACAATCCTATTTACATTAGTTAGAAGAAAAGTTAACCAAACAAATAATTTATAATCAAAACATCAAAACATAAATATTCAATATCTTCAACGAAAATAATAGAAAATGAAACACAAGATATTAATGACAAGAGGAAAAACATAACGCAACCCATGGGTAAAATCTTTTATAATTCTGTATTTCAAGAGGAGTGGAATAATCTAGTGGTCAAATAAGCTCCGGATATAGTTTTAAAATGGCATTAAGAGTGCTTTGGAAGTATTGATGAACGGTTTCGATCAACCTATAGAAGCGTGCGCCCGCCACCCGAAATCTCATATATTGCCCAAGAATATGTAAGAAGATTAACAGTTGTTCCCTCACGGACATATGAATCGTAGGACACAATACTTCCTTGTGAGAAAATTGCATAATTCAAAAACTGCAGGACTCATGCGAATTTGGTTTATACAATGAATCTCACTACTATATAAAATGCTGTTAATAGAGTTCTCTCTCTCTTGATCTCTATTAACGTGAGGTTCCCGAGGTATTTTACTCCTAGATATATAAGTTTCAATAACAGCATAACCCACAGCTATAACAGAAGTAGCAGCACCTATTACTGCTGCGTGAGTAATTTCATTATCAGAATTGTAGGCCATCAATACTGTTCAAAAAAATATATAAATATATGTGAATATTTGAAGACTAGTTAAACATTTGAAAGGAAACAAATTATTAATTAATGCACAAAGAAGAATGTTCACATTGAAAAATGCTCTCAAATCCCTCATTCACCACGACATTATCACCTAATTGAAGCAGTGAGTATCATATCCCTTTAATTTGATCAGATGCAATTTTCATGACTAGTAAAATATGTAGTTTATTGAATTCTCCTCTACCATTCCACCTGATTGGAGAACTGATAAGAAGCTTGAAAAAAGACCACTATGTTAGTGACACGGGGGATGTTGTGTACTACCGCAAACTCAGTGGCTCTTCTAAATCAAAATGAAGCTAAAGGTTAGAAGAGAGTAAAATTGAAAATACTACAGATTCTTACCCGTATTAAAACAGAGACTTCATGCACTCAATCACCCTATCAATATGAAAGTCTCCATTCTCCAACAAGCATCGACACTCATCCAGTTCACACACACACACACACACACACAAAAAAAAAACTTGGCTAACAATTAAAAGATTGTGTACTTGAAAAGAGTTCTAGTCTCAACTCTCTACAATAGATGGTTTCTGATCTACTACAATACTTGAAAAGTAGCATTGTAGTGTCACATTTTTAACAGAGAAATCACCAGCATCAATGCCATACTTTCACCCCATTGTAGTGTCACATTTTCTCACTATTACACAGCAGAATGTACCAGGATTGACAGAGTTTTGAACTTGTAAATGATTACAGTTCAGAGCCGACCAGCCCATGAAGAAGTATACAAAAGCAACAACCCTAAGAATGAGGGAAAATATCAAATCCCCAAAAAGGAAAAAGAAACATAAACATGAGAGAGAGATCCTTTCTTCAGAATTTGACATCTAAACAAATTCTTTCACCACTTCCTCATCCCAAACTACCAACAGAAAAATAACCGAAGCATCTCCCAAATACATCTAGAAGTAATGTTCTCAAGTGGAACCTCCTCAAGGATAAAGCAGCATCAATCAACCATTTTTATCCCTTCAATGCAAACAAAAATACTTTTGGCTCTGAAGGAGTCAAGTCCAAGGTTCTATCTCATCTCAAATATTGGTAAGATTGAGGAAAACATCCGGACAACAAGTAGTTTTTGTTCTCATAATCAATGCAAAGACACAATAGCATGGGATATGCAACAATGCTTCCAACAAGTACTTGCCAATCAACATAAGAATGTTACAAAAATGGGTTTTGCAGGAATTGTTTTTTTTTTTTTTTCTTTCCTAAATGGTTATTGAATTTTGTTCATTAAAAATATTATAGGAAGGTTTGGAACCAAAACAAAGGAAAAAATATATATATACAATAAAAATTGAACCATGTGAAGTTATGAATTAAGACAGAATAGAAGTTCTAGATGGAATAAAGATTTCTAAAAGCCTCCATTCATTATCTTTGCACGCATAAATCTTTGCAAATATTTATAAGTAAAAAAGTCATTTCTACAAGGGTACAGGAATAAATCTCTATTAGGCAAGGTCTCCGTGATCAAACAATCCCAACACTAGATAAATCATTATATCTTTGTACCTCTAAAATTTATTTTGTCTCCCAACTCCCCATCAAACTTTTTTATCCAAAATAACTTTCCGTGGAAATTAATACGATGGATTGCTAATGAAGCCCCAATAGAGAGAACTCGAGCCATTTCTACAAACATGCATATTCTAAGATGATTCTTCAATTAATTCCATGATTAATAAGAAATTGACTAAAATGATTATAGAGAATCAGATAGTATAGATTGCATTTGAAAAAACACCACTATGTTAGTGACATTTGGCCAACTCAGTTGTCACTTTGGGACCAAATAATATTGGTGACAGTATCTTTCAAAGCTAATCTTTTTCATAGAATTTTCAAATTTCACATTGTTGATACTAGGTTACTAACATTAACCATCTAAATCATAACTGTTTGGCATCCGAAATGCGATGTTTGTTTTTTTTTTTTTCATGCCATTTTCTCTTATTATGCATTGTGTTCCCACTGCAGGTTATTCAATTAACCAAAGCAAGGAGATCCGTTATCCATGAATCTATTTCTGCTCAATGTTAGGGGTCTTCGTAGAATGATCTGAAAAAATATTCTGGAAAAATATTTGCAGACACTTGCCTGAGAACACAAACTGCAAATTGAACCCTTACAATAATATACAAAATAAAGAACAACAGCCCTGCAGGGATGATGAAATTGCAATACCAATTCAAGGACTAAGTTGTTATAGATGATCTACCAAAAAAGGTGTACAAACCCACATATATATGTATATATTTCAAGTCACATAACCAACCACCCTCTCTCTCTCTCTCTAATTATATAAGTGTGTATATATATAGAGTGAGCAGAAGCCCAATATTAATATATAAAAACACTTATTATAATACACCAAAATACATACCTACGTAGCTATATATTTTATAGAGAGAGAGAGATGAGAAATTGGTACCTGAAACAGAAGAGAGAACGGAGGGGCAACAAATCGGAGACTAAAGTTTCAATGGATGAAATATGGATCCACCAACGAATCTGAATGCGATTTTGAATGAAATCAAAAGCTTTAAGAGTTAGATAAAGAATTTATACGTATATATAGATTTATAAAAGTAGATAGAGCTTATACCTCCAAATTTTCTTCTAGGGTTCCACAGTGGTGATACAAAGTATTTGAAGGATTGATATGTTCTTCTAGGGTTTCACAGTGGATAGAGACAGAGGAAGAGATATTTCTCGGGGTAAGAAAGAGAGAGAGAAGACGATAAAGGTCGAGGTCTTCTGATTCGTCGTGGAGTTCTTCAATTCGATCGGGATTGAGTTTGTAAAACAACTTCCCCAAAATTGAAAGTTCAGAGGTGAGTTGTTTTTGTAACTTTTTGATAAAATATTTTACTGGGTAAAAAATTTACATAAATTTTGGTCAACTAAACACTAGGCCGCGTTTATTTCGATGCAAAAAACTTAGAAAAATATATATATTTTTTAAGTAAAATATTTTTTTATTTTTACTTTGTCGGTGTTTGGTAAAGGTTTACGTCGAGGTTAAAGTCAAGTCCATCGATCGGGACATGTAAAATAACTTGTCGAAAATTGATGGATAAATTATTTTTGTTAAATTTTAATATTTTTTTTCTTCGTAAATATTTTACTAAAAAATATTTTACGTCCAATATTTTCTGTAAAATATTTTTTTATTTTTTTTGGTGTTCGGTTGTCATAAAATATTTACGAAGAAAAAAAATATTAAAATTTAACAAAAATAACTTATTCATCAATTTTTGGGAAGTTATTTTACATGCCCCGCTCGATGGACTTGACCTTAACCTCGACGTAAACCTTTACCAAATACCGAAAAAGTAAAAATAAAAGAATATTTTACTTGAAAAAGAAAAATATTTTCCTAAAAGAATATTTTACGTCGAAACAAACCGAGCCAAAAAAGTAAAAAAATATTTTTAAAAAAATATTTTACTTGTAAACAAACACAACCCAAATTAAATTGCCAACAAAAAAAATATTTTGCTTGTAAACAAACACAACCCAAATTAAATTGCCAACAAATTATGTCCCTATGATATTGTGAAAGTTGCTGAAGTACACATTCAGTTTGTTGAATCACTTGTGAATCTCTTTGAAGTGTCTCAGAAAAGAGTTAGAAAAATGTAACTTGAGATTGAGAAAAGTACATCTGCCGTCCCAATCCATTACTCAAAGAAAACGGATAAAAATAAATAAAAAATAAAAAAGAAGCTAAAAAGCTGGTGGTGGCAACAATTTCTTCTAATTTTTATTTCATACTTAATGCAATTGTAAGCACTTCAAAGACAACCTGCAGCATTAAAAACAAAGTAACTTTGATACATTGAAATGAATTTGATAACTACTTATTTTTCAAACATAATTAAAACTTTTCATAGAATTATATACCTTATAACTAAATCATTGGCTCCATATTGTTTTCACTGCTAAAAGAGCAACCATAAGTTGAAGCATTGGACCCAAATCTTTCACGGTTCAGTGAAGCACAATGAATGATGTACAATTTTTTTTTAAAAAAACATATCAATATGCATTAATGTAATTAACAAGTAGATTCAAAAACCTATAAAAGTTGCCCAAAGTTGAGATTTTGCAATGGTGAACTGCTGTTCATAAGTATGTGATGGCCTGGATGGTACTATTATATAGAAAAAACGAGTCAGCAATGCTGAATTTTGGCAATGTAGAAAGGTCAATTAAAGGGTAATACAGTTGCTTTTTAATTATCTCAAATGAATTCTCTATGAGGGTGGGAAAATCATTAACCTACTGAGCAGACATTTCAATCCAATGATAAGGATTAACCTATTCAAAAAAAAAAAAAAAAAGAAGAAGAAGAAGAAGTAAAAGAATAAGCCTTAATAAATAAAATGCAAATTTTTCATTTCAACGAATAAAATATATACATATAAAAATTAGATAAATATAATTCAATTACAGCATGACTTTCTTGTATTGCCATCTTATCAAGCATTTCTGAAGTAGGACTTATGGTTTGCAGAACAGCATCATTCGTAGCAGTTAAAATGCTTTGATGAGCCTGCAAGCCCATTGATTCTTCATGAAAAATCTTCGAAGGCACACAGTGGCATAGCCACAGAGGGACAAGTGGGGGCAACTATCCCCACTGAACTTTTAATTTTTTAAAATTTTATATAGAAAGATTTTTATATCTACATAATTGCCTCCTCTAAAATTTGACAATGCACATATATATATATATATATATATATATATATATGAGTAATGATACTTGCACCGATTTGTTGCATGCAGTGAATTACCTAACCGAATGTTTCTGATTGGTTATTTATGCACAATACATATAAGTGAAGGGCCCATCCTCTTATTTAACCTATTTGTTGTCGTGAATTGCTATATATATTTCTTTTCATTTGTCCATTTAGCATAAATAAAGGAGTGAGGCCCTCCACTTACATGTATTGTGCATAAATAACTAATCAGAAACATTCGGTTAGGTAATTCACTGCAACAAATCGGTGCAAGTATCATTACTATATATATATATATATATATATATATATATATATATATATAACCAAAAGCCCATTCATGGTTTTACACAAAAAAGAAAAGAAAAAAAAAAAGAAGTCAAAATCAAGGAATATAATCATGACACAATCGTAAATATATATAATATATATATCAATTGAAAATATGATATATTTTTTTCACTTTCCCAAAATATTATATTTTTTCCCACTTTTCTAAAAAAAAAAAACAAAAGCATTTCATCAATACATTCTATCACATTTTTTACTTTACGACAAACAAATGGATTGTTTCCATCACATCTTTAGTCTTCAACATTTTTCACAGTCCAAACAAAGTAAGCGGAACAATCATTTTTCAGTACATAGAGACTCAGTCAGTCATACTGCAGTGCGATAGACAGCTAATCTGATATATATATTTTTTTATCATCTAAATTTACGATTATTATTTGATATTATAATTTTAATTAGAAAAATTATTAGTTATTACTATCAAAATTATTTTAGGGCTTGTTGTTCTTTCAAATTTTAGTTTGTGTAATTGTGTTACTAATTATTATTCTCTAAATAAGACTTTTTTGCAGTCCAAATCAATGAAATCACGTATTCACTTACTTTATTAAATTTTTCGATTGATTGAATTATCTGGTTATAACTTATAAAGTTAGATTTGGTTATCATGGATTTTTACTTTTATTTTTTTTTTTACATATGTGATATATTAGAATAGTTAGGTAACTGTGTTATTTTCTTTTTCATATCTTATTATTGATTCATTGAATATGATTTTTTTTTTAGTATATTTAATTGAATGAACTCAATTTTGAAATAGCAATGGATAATCTGAAAATCGTTATAAATGCACCGAATATAAATATTATGAATCAATGTTTTAATTTCTACATATATTGTTTTGGTTCAAATTATATATATATATATATATATATATATATATATATATATATATATATAGTATTGCTATTAAAGATTGCCCCATAGAAGGAAGTTCCTGGCTACGCCACTTAAGGCACATATACATGGAAATCGAAAGTCAATATTAAGTTTAGAGGAGTGGTTGCATTTTATCTTCCATCCAATTTAGTGGCAAATGTCTTACTATTATGAAGAGGTAAGTCATTTCATATAAATCTGAAGAAAGTAATTTGAAAATAATAAGTTGAAAGTAATTTGAAAATAATAAGTTACCTTTCTCCTTTCTGGAAATTACAAGTCATTTTGATCAATTTGTCCTTAATGTTTTCCTTGATGTTTTCCTTGAAAGGCCTGCTCATAGATTATAGAAATAGAAGCTAAATGTTGATAGATGAAAATGAACAAAATTGGTAAAAGTACAGTAGTAAAGAAAAAATAAATACATACCTTCTTTTCTTTTTCTTTTTTTAACTTTTTTTAATCTAAATGGATCCCTTTCTCTTCGAAGGTGAATGACCTTTCATTCTTGCTTTTATAGGAGAGAGTAATTTCTTCCGAGAACCTGATAGGTCAAAAAGCATACTACTACATTCAAGTTCAGGTTGGCTTATAACACTAGCTTGACTATTGTGACAACTTGGGTCAAAGCTAAGAGGCTTTTCCTTTGTCTCCTTCAATTGCTTCATTAGAAACTCACACTTCTCATCTGACTCTACTCCAAGCTCTTGCAATTCATAAAACAATGGATGTAAATTATTATTTCGCTGCCTTTGTTCATTATTACTGAAATTATCATATATATTTTTCACAAAATTATACCTACGCTTGATGTCCTTCCGCCAACGATCTAATATATAATGAGATGGAACTTCATTTACTTTTTCTTGCATCATCACAGATATCACACGCCTACATAGAATCCCTTGAAACTCAAACAAATGGCACAAACATCGTAATTTACATTCAGCTGCATTGTAAAAAATCTCATAAGTTACCTCTTCTAATATGCACCACCTTTTCCAAATTTATGTTCTCTGACTTCAAATATAGAGGTTAACTCTTCTCTACTAGTAAGAGACGTATTGCAATAAATCATTCCCCTTAATTCGCCTTGAAAATGCTTAAAAATATCATTGGTGTAAATATTTTTCAATTTGTTTCTCAATAGAGAACTCACTTATTGTTGGAATGATAGAACTGAAAAATGCAAAATCTACTTTGTTTTCTTTTTTAACTTTGCTTTTTAAGGCATTATCATATTGTTCAATAAATTGCCTCAAGGAGGTCTTTATATGAACATATTCATTTAAAAAAGCATTCATGCTTTCACTCCATCGGGTAGTTAACATTCCAGCCCAAAAAGTGTATTTCACATATACTGGAACCTAACAATGGCGATCTCTATGTAATGACTACAACCATTCAGTACTCTCAAGCTTGTATTCTTTAATCAATTCTGTGAAACCCCCGAATTTTCACGTGTAGGTTGGCCAGACCCACACTTGAAAACATGGGGATATAAAAAACAATATGGCAATAAACGAATACGGAATACAAGAAGAATACAAAGAATAATTAATTTGCTGAAAGATATTCTATTGATAAAATAAAACCTTCTTCACAAAATAAAATCTATAAATGTAGATCTCTATAATACAACTCGAAAATCCTGTAAGTTAAGGACCCCTAAACCAAAAATACTAATCCATCAGTTTATACATAAATAAATTATCAGCTAACATTAAATGTCAACACTACTTAAAAGTAGATGAGATTATTAGATGAAAGATAAGTCTTCAAGTTGCGGATCCTCAACCTCGAGACTGGAACTTCTAATAACTTAAAAAATAAAGCATGGATTA